CAATTCTTTTTCCAAGCATTTTCCTCTCCCACAGGCTTTGCACTTGAAACAGAGAAGAAATAAAAACAAAACGCAAAAAGGAATAATAATAATAAAAATAACATTATCTTTGAGAAACGTGATCACTTTTTTTTTCTTTATTTTTATAATTGTAAACAGCAACACGACTCCACTATATCTATCTATCGATCTATTTGCATCCATAGATACATATATTATCCCTTTTCTTTTTATTATACCATATTAAAAACAAATACACACACAATCCTATTTAGGTTCAAATGAACACATCCAGATCGAAATAAGTCCTCTACAAAAGAACCATTTCTATGTCTAGGGAATGGACTGTGGATTCACAACGTATCAATTAGATTCAGTTATGAAAAGCACAAAGTACCATAAGCTTCATACAACATAAACTCTAATCCTGTTCGTTCGCATGCAAACACGACAACACAGGGGGGAAAAAGGAATAACAGCGATGTGGACGGGGCGCGCTGCATCTGCTGGCTTACCCATCTCTGTGGGTTGGTGTGTGTGTATGTGTGCGTTGGTGCTGCTGCCGTGTTGTTGCGGGGTTTGGCTCTTTTTGCCTGCGGGGCGGTGAGCAGCCGGGGAGCGGCAACCTTGCGGCACACTGCAGCCCTACCGGCAAATGCTGCCGTATGTCTCAATAGAACAGGCGAGTGCCTGTGATTGTTGCTAGTCTGTGTATAGGTCCGCATGTCTTGTCGGTGGGTGGTGGGTGGGGCTGCCCCTCTCTCACTCCTTTTTGTTTGGATTGCTTTGCTCTCTTTCATTGCGTTTTCACTCCCACTCTTCTTATTTCTTGATAGAACGATACCAAACAAACACACAAGGTGGAATATATAAACAAGTGCACCATGGCCCGCCAACTCCAGCTGCATGGCGCAGTACTGTTCCTCCTCCTCCTCCTTTTGCTGGGCTCTTACGGATGCCTTGCGTTCCGTGGGGACAAATGCATGTTTGATGAACTGGAGGTGAAAGATGAAAATAAAGGTGTGGCTGAATCCGTTGTGTACGAGCTTCCGAAACCGGGTGAGAGGCGTTTGAAAGCGACGACATACCTTTTGAATGACAGAGACTGGGCGCCTATCCGCATAAAGGTGTCAGCGGAGGATCTGAAGAATGAGTCAATGTACTGCAAGGCAGCTGGTGAGAAACGTCCAAACTTCCTTGGTGAGTTGGTTGAGTGCGAAGAAACGGACGTCATCACGGAGGCGAAGAAGAATGACCTCCTCAAGACAATTCTCCCTGAGGCCATCAAACTGCACGCCGACCGTCTCCTTGTCAAGCCAGTGCCGGGGCCAGTGGTGGTGTCGGTGCCCAGCAAGGGCGTCTGCCCACACTTCACCGTGCCGGAGGAACACATGACCAGAGGTGTAAACCTGACGGACTTTGTACTGTACGTGGCTGCCGGCCCAGGTGCCACCTTCACATCCATCTGCTCTGAGGAGAGCATTGAAGATCGACCGTTCAGTGCAGTGATGAATTTTGAACCTGCACGGATCCTCCCCACAAGGTACGCCGTCCGCATTGCAGCGCACGAGATTGCACATGCCCTTGGATTTTCTTTCAGACGGATGAGAGAGCTCGAAATGACTGACTACTTCGATTTTCCCGGAGAGAAGATTAAGTATCAGGTGAACTCCAAAATGACAAGGAATGTATCTCAAAGGCACTACAACTGCGAGGAAAGTAGGGGTGCGTTCCTGGAGGAAGAAGGAGGAACATGGAATATGGTGTCTCACTGGGAGCGTCGTGACGCCAAGGATGAACTGATGAGTGTGTATTTCGATCTTCCTGGTGCCATGTTGTACACAGCGTTCACGATGGCAGCATTTGAGGACATGAAATATTTCCGTGCAAATTGGGGAAAGGAGGAAACGATGAGCTGGGGCAAAGACGCTGGCTGTGAATTCCAGTATATCAACTGCGTTGAGGATAAAAAGAGCACGTACCCCAGTATGTTCTGCAACAGCACTTCCGAGACACTCAAGTGCACGTCTGACCGCTTTGCTCTCGGGGAATGTTCACTGACGACCTATAACAATGACCTTCCACTAAAGTACCGCTACTTCCTGAGAGCCAGAAAGGAAGCTGGCTCTGCGGAAACCCTGACGGACAGGTGTCCCATTATTGCACCGACTGCAGCAACCGTGTGCACCAATGGTAAGGAGGAAAGCATGCCCGGGAGCCGCGTGGGGGA